GTTTTCTTATGTTAGCTTTGAAACAAACTTAAGTCAGACCTCCTATGATGACCTGATCAGGAAAGTTGTGGAAGTCTTCAAGCCAGGAAAATTTGTGACCACCTTGTTTGTTAATCAGAGTTCTAAATGTCGTACAGTGCTTTCTTCACCGCAGAAGATTGAAGGTTTTAAATGTCTTGATTGCCAGAGTGCTATGTTCAGTGATTACAATTTTGTTTTTACCAGTTTTGCCAAGAAGCAGCAGCAACAGCAGAGTTGATTAAGAAAAATGAAGAAAAAACACAAAAAGAGAACACACATAGAAGATGGTGGCTGCTTTCTAGATGTTGATACCAGGGGCTATGCTTTCCATAACCACCACCTTGTAGTTTCAGAAAGCCCTAGATGTAATGATAGTGTAATCATTTTGAAGTGTATGCATTATTATATCAAGGAGTTAGATATCTTGCATGAATGCTCTCTTCTGTGTTTAGGTATTCTATGCCACTCTTGCTGTGAAATTGAAGTGCATGTAGAAAAATTTTACTGTATGAAACTTTACAAACACTTGTGAAAATAATTCAATTTGGTTCATGCACAGTGTAATATTTCTGCAGGTATCGTCCAAGACTCCCCGCAGACAAGGCTTTTGTCTTCATTGGGTGTTGGCCTCAGCCTAATAATCTGGGACTTTTCTGTTAAATTGCTGCCAGGATTTTACATCCAGTTACCTCCACTTTCTAGAACATATTCTCTAGTAATATTATTGAAACCAGTTTCTACTTGATAAAAATGTTTTTGCAGCAGCGATTAAAGTTTTTCTTCCATGAGTCAAAAAAAAAAAAAAGTCTGGACATATTGGCACACACCTGTAATCTCAGCACTCTGGATGCTGAGGCAGGAGGAATACCACAAGTTTGAGATGAGCCTGGGCTACATTATGAGTTTAAGGCCAGCTTGAACTACATAAGGAAACCCTGACCCAAGAAAAAAACATAAATGTTGGGGATGTAGTTCAATACTGAGGCCCTGTACTCAGCAGCCCTACTGCTGAGGGAAGAATTCAGGCAGTATGTAGATGCATACTTTTATTTTGAGCACTATATATGTAGTTTGGCATTGAGTTTGGTTATTAGTTTTTTGTTTTTGACTGGGTCTCACTGTTGCTCAGTCTGGCCCTCAACTTCTAGGCTCAAGTGATCCTCCTGTCTCAGGCTCAGAACTAATGGGGATTACAGACCACACCATCATGTCTGGCTTTGAGGTTGGGATGGGGCAGGGCATTTTGAGAGGAGATTAGTGTTGTAGCTCAGTAGTAGAGCACTTGCCTCTGTGTATGAGGCAACACCTTGGGTTTGATCCCCAGGACTAGGGGAAAAAAAGTGGTTTCTGTGGGGTTGGGGATTGAACCCAGGGCCTCTACCACTGAGCTTCATCCCCAGTGAGTTGATGTTTTAAATAATACCATTTAAAACTCATAAGTTCTCTGAATACCATTGGATCATAGGGGTTTTGTTGTTGGTTGTGGGTGTTTCCTTCATTAATTACTGTTGTGCTTTTTTCTCTTTTAGACTATCAAGAACAAGTATGCCACATCAAAGCATGCTAAGATCAGCACTCTAGCACAGCTCAATTGTGCATTAGTTGAAGATTTGGCCAAGTCTGTGGCAAAGGTGTAACTTGTAAGCTTGAGTACTCTTATCTGCAAATAAAATTGGCACCATGTGCCACCTGTACATACTACACTGCATTTACATACTTTTTAAATAAAGATGTGGCCCTTTTTACTTTGCATACCTTAACTGGTTTAAATGTAGTTAGTTCCTATTCTAGGGTAACCTAAACACTGACTTTAAAGAATGATAGGAATATGCTTAAAAATTGCTTTTAGTTTACCAGGGATCCAACTAATGTGTATAATTATTGCCTGTATGTTTGTATTCTTGGCTCTTCTTTTAAGTTCCTGGATTTTAATGTAAGGTAGGGAAGATGATACCTCAAGAGGGCTGTTCCTTCTGTACAGCCTACTGCATGTAAGCTGCCACAGCATCTGGAAGGGTCTCCTGCCTCTATCTAGTTTAAAGTGAAAGTCTGCCACTTCATCCCTAGTCCTCCCTCTGTTCTTCTGTTTCTTCTGGTGGCTGCTGTCCTAATTCTAAATAAATTAAATCAACCATTTCTCCAGCTATCAACTTTAGTATTTTAAAAACATTTTCACTTTGAAAAAAATAAGAACTTTTAATTTATATTTGAAGTGTAGTTTTCATTTTATGTGTTTTTATTAAAATAAAACCGATTGCTCAAAACAAGTACTAAAATGATTTTTTAAGTTAATTTATCCCTCCTCAATCTGACCCACCTCAAGGATATCAATAGTTTAGAGTGTATCCTTCCATGTTCCATGTAGGTATAGGTATGAACATA